GTTTTTGCTTGAACTCTCGTTTGTTTTTCATTTATCCCTTGGATCCATTTGTTTTTTTGCCAGAGTGCGAAATTTTTCCGAAAAATAAATCATGTCTTGTATTAACTATCCCCTTCCTACGTACATCTCCCGCCACTCAAAGTCACCTTCCAAGTATTTCAAATTTGTCATAAGAATTTCCTATATTTAGTTTAGTTCTCAAGTATGTTAAGTATTATGCGCACAAAAATATGTATAAAGTGTGCATACATAAGACTTCTTTCTGTTGTTGATAAAGGTGTGTACGAATACGTAATCACACCAGATCGCTTCCATTTGCTACTGAAGAGTCTGTATCCAAGTCAAACGTCAATTGTCTCATTGTTGATATAGATGGAGGGAATCTCTTTCGAAACTATTCATATAAATAAGAAGATGTAGTATGAGTGCCAATGAGACAACTCTCCATCCAAGTCACAATATATAAAAAGTAAACAATTATAGGTCAAAGTACGGCCTTTAACACGGAGCCTTGGCTCACACCGAACAGCGAGCTATAAAGGGCCCTAAAATTACTAGTGTAAAACAATCCAAACAGGAAAATCAACGGTCTACTCTATATAAAAAACGAGAAACGAGAAACAGTTTTATATGCACAATGTTGGTTGTGGTTTTTCTTCAAATTACATGTGCCTCGTTGATTAGTATATTTCTCATACTCGTTTCCTACGACGAATGTTTGGCGTAATTATTCAGACACTCACCTTGTCGCATCAATGTACTGTCAATATATACATTACATTACCTTCAAGTAAATACTACTTTTTACTTGCACTTGGTGGCATTCGTACACAACTTTCGGTTTGAATTTAATTATATCTTACTTTTGCGTTCTTTCTTGTTCGTCTCGTATATTTGCTAAATCTAAAACACATTTTCCCCTGTCCCGAAATCCAATATAAAACATGTAAGTATTTTAGCATAAATCAGACCGTTGGTTTTCTCTTTTGAATTATTTCATATTTTATTATGCAGTGGCTTATTTTATAGCTTACTGTACGGTTACGGTTTTGCTTTATTTTCAAGGCCACACAATGCTCAATAGCTGTTTGTGTCATGCTCATTTGGTGGATAGCTGTCCTATTTGGCAAGCATATCATATCTCCTTATTCGTATTGTACAGTATAGGAAAAATAAAAAGTCACTTAAGCTCACGTAACATCTGCAAGTTTAATAACGATTTTTTTTTGTAATTCCACTATATCTAAATGCAGATTTTTAATTCAGTATGAATATTACGATAAAGGAATGCATTTTGTGTAACTGAAATATAAAAAATCATAAAACATATGACCCTCAATCACTAATAGAAGCGCCGTTACTTTGAAATGTTCAATGATAACCGTTATAAATCTAACTATATTCGATCATAAAATCATGTTCAGTTGTATTTTGCCCATTTCAAAATTTTTAACACTTTCATATCCAATATCAGAGATTAGAAGTAGCAAGGCATCGATTATACATGAGAACCTGTTTAAACATAACACAATTCCAAATTGCTCGCCTAACTTGTCTGCAAACAGAGATTTCTTTCTTTTCATTCCTTTGAAAATGTTCAGTAATTTTTTTTCCTAAATTAAATGGATGTCACGGAAATGAAGAGAGACTTGTTTCTAAGTTGATTATCATTCCAAGTCAGACTAATATATCGACCAAAAAATGACAAAATGAATTACAAAAATGTAAATGGTTCTTAATCTGGTCAAAAACCTGACCCATAGCTACAACGGTGGACGTGACCAATGGACAAACGAAATCAATACGTATACTTTACTTTCAAATTAGCACATAAACAAATTTTAAACTTAATATTAACTGATAGAGTACTTTGACTACATCTAACAAGGAGATGTTTTGAATTACTTGAAAGACCCTATCCTTAAATGGTGTTGTATTACGAGCAAGTGACTTTTGAACGCTGTGATGCTATGCACGTACGGGACACTTCAGAGTATGCAGCGTAATTTTAGAGAACTGAAGCTGTATATATGAATTTGTTCATTCCTTAATAAATCGGACAATAATATTCTGCTAAAAAAATATCACAAGGCTTACAAAAGTGCGATATTTTTACAGATTTTTTGTTGTTGTTGAATATGAAAGTATACACGTTTTGTTTTAGTATACTATATAATGGCAATTAAAAGGACATGTACACGACACTGCAAGACATTATTGTCTACACCTACATATTATAAATGGGCAAAAGCTTTATTCATTACCGTGTTACAGTCTTTTTTTGTAAAGAAGGACCTTCTCTCTTGTATCAAAATAAAAAAAAGGAAAAAAGACTTGCGCCCAACTTTTCAGAAGAATGACTATTATGAATTTTCTTTTTTAAACCAAGAGTTCCAAATGGTGAAGTTGAAATTATCACTTTGTAAATTTTACGGACGCCATCACGAGTTGGTTGACCGTTATGGAATATCCGTTTCACAGATGATATCGGATATGTTCCTTATGTCGTAACTACAATCCCGTTCCCTTTTCACGAATGTGACCTACTGAATTAGACTATTTACCCCTATTTGTGACATTTTTACCTATTGTTTTTGTTTGTTTTGTTCACACATCGTTGTCAATATAATGGAATTTTATGCGACTGTCATACAAGCGAGAGGTTTAGCTAGCTTTAAAACCAGGTTCTATCCACCATTTTCTACATAAGAAAATGCCTGTACCAAGTCAGGAATATGACAGTTGTTATCCATTCGTTTGATGTGTTTGAGCTTTTGATTTTGCCATTTGATTAGGGACTTTCCTTTTAGAATTTTCCTCGGAGTTCAGTATTTTTGTGATTTTACTTTTTGTTTGCTAAACGCTAAAGTGTAAATCCATTTTGAGAAACATATAATTTATTTATTAATGAGGCTGGTTGTGAGAAGAGATAGACCGGAAAATCACCCAACAAATTTCGAATTTCTCTGAAACATTTGGGTATAATATTTCTAGCTACGGATTTTTTATCAATAACTTTGATACTTAAAGGCCATAATAGGAAATGGTGTTCAAAAACTATGTTTGGACGTTCTGTTTTCATGACTTCGTGTACATGTACCTCTCTCTTCCTGACATCTTGCATGCATGTGATGACACCAGAGAGCGCAACTGGGCATACTGTATAGACACCTGTTTATTGTTGATGACTGCATATTACCCTCTAGATGTCTTTTGTTATTTTTGCCGTAATTATGTAAGATAATTGAACAGAAAAATTTGATTACTGAATTTGAAGAGTAGACACAATTATATACTAGTAATTCCAGTATACTTAAAGGCACTTCAAGACACAATCCTTTGTTTTTTTTTATTAAAATAGACATGCACACGCAACTGACGCAAAACCTTTTTTTCTCAAAAACGTGAAACACTTATATGTTGTACATACTTAGTCTATTGGCCCAAAACGATATTCAATACCGAGTTAAAGAGGGTTTATTAAGAGGGTTAAGATTGGTCATCTATATTCTCCTATAACAAAAAAGAGGGAAAAAACTACTTCTCATGCAAGTCCACTTTTCAGAAAAAATAACTCATGCCTAGTAATAAATATTTCAAGAAGCTTACCCGGTCTTGCTCCGTTTGGAGTCAATACGATTCCCTAGATTTTGTTTTGTATATATGATTTGTATATTCTAAAAGTATTTACGATATTTGAACATCGGTAAAATACTATTGCCACTAATCGAGCATATTCGTTGTGTGAACCAATTAAACAATTTACCAATTGATTAGATAGCGATTACATTTACGATGCAAATTTTCCTGCACCGGATGCGCATTTCGACAATTTATGTCTCTTCAGTGATGCTCGAAACCAACATATTTGAAAATCCAAAACTGCATGTACAAAATATATGCTATGGAGAGACAGAGATTTTGTATTAATCAATACCACTCTTTTTTTTTGTCTTACACGAGCCGAGAGCTGAGCTACTTTTCAAATACACTTTACAGGACAAAAGATTTTAAGTCTCCATTTCGACGATATAAGACTCGAATAGCATATTGAAGCGTACGTCCTCGTAGCAGGAGTTATATCGTGTGACGGGGTAAATCTAAGCAGGCTATTACTTAATGTTGTAGCTGTATTTCTATACCAATCGTAAAATTACGGTTTTTGATGAAATACTTTCACTCTTTAATAGAATATAATTCGTATTCTATCAAAGAAATCGTCTTAATAACCTTTCTTAGTATCTTTAATTCGGCAAAGTTACGTTTTTAAAAAAATTTGTATAATAATTTCTTCCTTTTCATTATAAGCGAATTAATCGTTTGACTTACCTAATCTAATTGTAAAAAGACAGACTGAAAAACACAACTAAGTTAATAATGCATGTAATAACGAAAAGAACAAAGAACCTGGTTATCTAAATAACGAGAATCACAGACAATCTCAAAACTACGGACGAGTGAATGGATGCATATACTAACAAATTACAAGCGTTGCGATGAATACAAAAGTTAAAAAAAATGTTTGAATACAAAAGACGTGAAGCGCGTATATTACCCTTCCCTTATTGTAAATATGTGCTTGTTTTCTTTCCTTTTTGTTAAACAAGAAGGGTGTCGTTATATTTCCTATTTGTAAATTGTTGAAGTTTCAAATTCACAAAACAGAAATTGAAACATGGTGATTTTTGAGGTTTTAATGATCAAACGAGACATGGTGCAACCGTCGTTTGTTTGTGTTTTAATCAGATATTACATAATTCCTAAAATCAAAATTAAACGATACGCAAGCATATTCATATTTGCAAAAGGGCTTGTATATCATATTCGAAAACAATACAAAATCAACAAGTCAAAACAAAAGCGTAAAACGAAAATATTGGTAATTAAAAATATATGTATAAATTCATGTTTAAACAAAAAACCCTAAAATCTTCAAGACGGTAAAATAAGAAAAAAAGAATTGAAAGAATCATACAGAAATAAAGAAAAGTATTCCTCACCTTTAAGCTGCTGGCTTCAGAATTATTTGCTTTTCGTTTAATAGATAACCACCTTCTACTCATTTTCACATTAATTTTTAAAAATCCTTTATAATATTAATAAAAGTAATGTTTCTCTATCCAAAAATCCGTTTTAGAAATCAGCTGATTTTCATTCAATACTATCGCCTCTGCAGGGTTATTAGAATAATAGTACTACACGTGGAAGACGTAAACATTGAGCTTTTATCAAATCAGTTATCACTTGCTGCAATCAACAATTTGATAAATCAGATTTCATTTGTAATTGCTATTCGTATTTGTGTTAGATGGTACGTAACGATTAAACTAGTAACGGACAACTTGTAAATAAATTTAACATAATTGAATAAAGGAGTGAAAATGATTAGACAAACACGTGGATATTTGCATCATCGATTTCCACAATTCTTGGCTTGATCTTAATCATTTCTTACAGGATCTTTAATTCGGTAATATTTTTCTTAGGTCTTTATCACGAATATTGATGATTTATTTTTTACGCATTTAATGCGTAGGGAAATATATTTTTCAAGGACAAAATCAAAATAAATATATCATAAAGTGACACATTTGTGGAAAACAGAAACCCTGTAAAGCGATAGTGATGAGACAAATAAATTAAGAACCCATTAATTAAAGATCAGAAAACAAGTTCGATTGGAAACACAGGAATGGATCTTGATTTTTTTTCAAATTCAATGTTTATTTGTTTTAACTTCAAAAGTCTTTGATCATATATTTAGTTTTTTAAAGCAGAACTATCTTTAGATATTTTAGGTCCGGTGTTTTATCATTGAAACCGCTTATTTTGCCATAATGTAGGAAATGTTGGTTAATATACAAAGAAGAAGATGTGGTATGATTGCCAATGAGACAACTATCCACTAAATAGATATAAGAAGATGTGGTATGAGTGCCAATGAGACAACTCTCCATCCAAGTCACAATTTGTAAAAGTAAACCAGTATAGGTCAAAGTACGACCTTCAACACGGATCCATGGCTAACACCGAACAGCAAGCTATAAAGGGCCCCAAAAATGACTAGTGTAAAACCATTCAAACAGGAAAACCAACGGTCTAATCTATATAAAAAACGAGAAACGAGAAACACTTATGAACCACATCAACAAACGACAACCACTGAACATCAGGTTCCTGACAATAGTGTAACATCACAACATAGAAAGACACATTATAAAATATCAATTGAAATGGCTTAACTCAATCAAAAGACATATTAACAAAAACATGTGAACATACACTGAACGAATAAATTTGATCTATGACACAATGTAAATACAAAATTAATAAAACAAGGTGGTAAGATGTTTAACAATATCAGAAAGACAACCATAACCTTGGACAAAATGCTGCCAAATAAAATAACGTACAAAAAGACCAAATGACGTAGACATAATCAAATAGACACAGTATGGCCTTCAACAATGAGCAAAAACATACCGTATAGAAAGTCAAGGTTTAAAAATGTATAACGAGGTCCAAAATCACACTCATTTCAATTACAAAATATGTTGGTCCTGGTTTCATGAGCAAATAGCAATCTTAACTGCCATGATAAAAAAAAAACTGTAAGGCTTAATCTATCTTTTTTTATTTTTTTTTCTCATTTAGAGTTTTCAATGATATGCAAAAAATTGTAGAATAAAATAGTATGATATATTAATAAATAGAAAAGCAGAAAAAAAAATACATGGCCACGTTTTTTGTTGAATATGAACAAGGAGATGTATTGCACTATGCGGCATTCAGCAATGAGTAAAATCCGTACCATGTCTGATATTCAAGGATGCAATTAGTGCTCATAGTAAGAGCTACAATCGGTCAACAAACCTTATTGCCGATACGAAGAAAATATATGGTCAAGGATAAAATTAACAGCTGTAATCATTTCATCCCGGTTCCAGTAAGTATATAAATATCTTATTTACCTTTTTCATTATAGAAGAAGGCTTTACATAATTAATAATACTGAATTAAGATTTTCAAAAAGACCATTTCAATAAATAAGAACACTTCTGTTCGATTTGATTTTATGACAGAATAGTGTAGAGAGTTGAAAAGTCAATATTGTCTAACGAATCGAAAGGACCACCAACAGCAAGTAAATAATCTAGTACATCTAAATAGTCTTTATACTCTAAAAATAATTATTTTCATTATTCGCATATGCTTTATTACAAACATAAATAAGTATTCGTATAAATGTATTAATCGAACTAGTTATAAGTACAAAACGAATAGTTGTAGAACACTTACTAAAAACCAAGTTGAAATTATGTTTGGTGATTGTTAAGTAGTATTTATTAGGGACATTCGAAAACAGCAACTTTTTATGTTGGCGTCTGTTAAATTTATTTGTATATTTGTTTGAATTTTTTAGTCAGTTGTGTTGTTTGTTTATTCAGTTTTGGATGCTGGATCCCAATTATTGTCACATTAACTAATTATGTCTAGTGGGTTACTCACCCAATTTTGTCAATATAACGGAACTATAAACAACTGTCATACAGGTGGGAGGTTTAGCTAGCTATAAAACCAGGTTTAACCCACCATTTTCTTCTGAAAATGCCTGTTCTAAGTCAGGAATTTGACATTTGTTTCCACTCGTTCCGTTGGTTGATAACGTTTGATTTTGTCAGAACTTTGTGGACTTTCCCTTTTTCAATTTACCACGGAGTTTGGGATTTGATTTATACATTTTTATTTAGAAGGTACGCGATATATAAAAATAATGCAAAGAGCGCACACAAATCTACACTCGCAGAGAGAAAGAGAGATCTTAAATAACAAAATTGGTTATTGAATTCATATCTTATCTGAAAGTAAATCGCTACAGCAGTTTAATTTTCTTTTATATATTAATGAAACTCAATTAAATGCCAGCCATGATTGAAAAATAAATGCTTTGATTTTTCAATATGCTATATAGATTGCATGTGATGAAAGCTGTTAAGTTTCAGTCTGTTTTTTCGTTTCAATTTACATTTCTTGTAATTTCAATTTTGAATTAGATATATAAACTAGTAACAACTTTAATAAAATAGCATTTTGCAATTGCATGTCTGGCTTTAAAAGTTGCATTATATTGTAGTATTCATACAGAAAACACAGAAGCCTAATTCAAACTTAACTTTAAACCTCAAAGTTTTAAAATGTCAAAAATTCAGACTCTCAATTTAAACCTAGCTTTGACCTTAAGTTACAATACACACAAAAACAACCCACAAAAACAAAAACAACATCAAAGTGTATATCTGTCAATTTTCCACAAGAACCATTAAATATATCTTTTAGTATCATTATACTTGCATGTCAAAACATACTTTTCGAGTATTCTTGTGTTGTTTGTAAGCTATCTGGTATAATTTTAGTTTGATTTGAAGAAGCAGCAGATGTCAAGAGGATGCTCTGCATAAAAATAATTGTGATTATTTCTTGTTAAAAATGGCTAAGAAGTCATATGAAGACTGTAATATTCAACAGCGAATTAGGTTGTCAATACTCGAGTATACTAGGTAAATGGGTGTTTTTGTAACTTGTTGACTATTTACCGTTTAGTCAGCAATATTCGTTATTGTTAACGGCACTGCAATAGAGAGCCGTAAGAATGTGTTTAAGGAGCAGGTGTGCTAAGTTTTACAGATTTTAATGTTCTTATGACTTGTAAATGTAGTCTTTGACTTTATGGCGTAATAATGACTGTTTTTGGTAATGTCTCTAATTTCCTTCTTTAGTCATTCACAGGTATTTTGATATAAAACTTTAACCCTCCCCCCTAAAAAACGCCTTCCGCTTATAGGAGAAATCATTTGTAATTTAATCCATGAATTCAAGTTGACATTGTTGGATAAAATCAAAAGTATGTTTCTGGGTTAAAGATTTAATTATTCATTTGATTCATAAACACCACGACTATTTGCATCAGAGAGCAATATCATTCTCTCACGACTCTAATGCTCCAAACTTGTAACTTTGAACCAGTTTCAATATGAGATTATTTCGTACAGTAAATCGATCAACAAACTACGTTACGTTACTTGTAACAAGGCGAAAAAAACTGATTCTTTAATTAAACATCAAGACACAAAAATTATAAAGCGGATTAAATATAATGAAGTGCATTTGGGAGGAACAATTTGAAATACAATTATGTGCACCTTGTGTTCTGTTTAATCATACAGTGCAATAAGTGCCAACGATCAATATGCATATAGGGAACCTTTTCATGTCAAATTAAATTGACGAGGAAATTAGGCTTCAAAATTCTACGTTGAGGTGATTAAGATACTACGAAAGGAGGGGGGGAGAACACACTGAAAAGGGGGGATCAAAACAAAAAAAGACAACACAATTGCAAACAAGAATGTGTCCATAGTACACGGATGCCCCACTCGCACTATCATTTTCTATGTTCAGTAGACCGTGAAATTGGGGTCAAAACTCTAATTTGGCATTAAAATTAGAAAAATCATATCATAGGGAACATGTGTACTAAGTTTCAAGTTGATTGGACTTCAACTTCATCAAAAACTACCTTGACCAAAAACTTTAATCAAACTTTTTAACCAAAAACTTTAACCTGAAGCGGGACAGACGGACGAACGGGACGGACGAACGGACGCACAGACAGAAAAACATAATGCCCCTAAGTGGGGCATAAAAAAGAGACGATCAAACAAATAGCAGTATACACAACACTATGCAGAAAACTATAAAGATTTAGAATAAGAACGCCACCAAAAGCTGGATTTAATTCAGGTGCTCTAGGAGGGTAAGCAATATAAGAGAAAATAATGCACGTCAAAGGCAACAAAGAAATGACACGAAAAATGAACGGACATATAGAGGTCGCCCTACAATCTCCACAACAGACAAGTGTCTAGACAGTATTTCAAGCTAAAAATCGCCCCGAGTTTATAATGTTTTGAATATATTTAACATAGACTATCAAATATCTTCTTTCAACAAGAAAATCTATAAACGACAAAAATATGAAGATGTAACCGACAACTCTTGACTT